ACAGGGTGTCAACTTTCTTTGTGGTGGACGAAGCTATTGACTCAATGTATTTGTTCCATCTCAGGTCAGCAGACAATGTGAGACCGAGCAGTCGGAAAGATGTGCTCTCGTATGACTCTAAATTCTTTTTCTGTAAATTTGTGCCGTTGTGTCTTTTCTGTACGAAATGATTTTTTGCAGCAAATCTTCCAGAAAATTCATCCTTTGTTAAGATTTTGGAAACAGTCAACCTGAAAATTGATTTATGTTCCGATGACAGAATTTATTTTGTCCTAAAAATCATGTTCGTGTTTTCTTTGATTTTGTAGTAATCACCAGTTATATTTTTTATCTGGAGGATTTACATGTGGATGACGTCCTGGTTTTCTTTCAAATTTGCCTCTTCATTTCAGTTGATCCAATGGATATTTTACAGAAACCAATAAACAGTTAACACCGTCAGCAACCTATCTCAAGACTCAACCAAACATAATGCAATGCAGGTTTTCAGACATATTTCTGTATTGCCCAATGCAAAATTTCAGGAAAAATAAAATTGAATTTAATTTTAAAAATGTTTTGCCTTAAATTAGTATTTGCAAAATGCCAACTCTTCCCCAAATTAATGTCAGCTTCTGGAAATGTTCTTATCCGACGGAAGCTTTGTTCGAAATTAGTTTAATTACTGATGCATCATCCTAATTTATCGTTACATAAATATATCAACTCAGGCAACAATGTTTAGTGAAAAAGGTTCATGGCTAATTTACCACAACTAAACCCAAAAACTGAGCGCCATGAAAAAATGTTAATGTTGGGCCTGTGGTATTATTAATGTACAGTTCTTGAAACACAATGAAATCTTAAATGCACGTCCAGCAGCTTCAACGTGTCCATAAATGTCTGGTCGAAAAGCACTTTGTACTTGTCAGTAGAAAAAATGATCTTCTCCTAAAGGCCACATACAGCAAGAATGACGCAGGAAATTGAGGAATTCGGTTTGTCTGTTCCCACCTCGCGCGCCATAATCACCTGAGCTTCTACCAACCGATTATTAAAATTTTCGATCACAGTAAAACGCTTTGATTGGGAAAACTTTGTCTGCTGAAAACCAGATTATTTACATTATTCGAACTATTGTCCTCATCTTTGTCGCCATATCTCTTACAACATTTCGGCTGCTGTACGCTCCGGATTTCTTCAGGACACATGGCACAGTGGATAAAGGCGTTGGTTAGATCCAGTGACAGGACCCAAAGAGTGTGAGTTCAATACCCGGATAAGGCAGTGGAGAACTTTCAGAGAGAAATTAACAGGAGATAACTGATAACTGACATCCATTAAACATGGCACGTGGAACTAGAACAGTCTACCCCAGTGAGCGAAATAAAGGGTTCAGTTCGACATTCCAACCACCTGAAGAGGGCCGGAGCGTACAACGGACGAAACGTTGTAATAAATATGGAGACAGAGATGAAGACAATAGTCCGAATAATGTAAATAATGGACATAATACCTCATCTCAGAAATATAGACAGAAAACCAGATTTTTGGTCGAAAAGTTGCATAAAAATGCAACATCCAGATTAAAACCTGTAAATTTTTACTGAAAAGTTATCAAAGAAATGCCTGATAAGTGCCTAATACGTGATTACAAATGATGGTAATTATATAATCGAATAAAATGTAATTGTACTTTATTTTCTGAGGAATAAAGTTGATAAACAAAAACAAATTATTTCCGACTCAGCCTAATAAATATTATATTATATAATATATATTATATTATAAATATTATTATATTATAAATATTATATAATTATTATATTATATTATATATACCGTAATTAATAAAAATTAGGGGTGCGTATTATACTCAGCTACAAAAAATCTTTAAAAAATTACCGTAAAATAAAATAAGAATTATCATAAAACTAAATTAGAATAATATTATTCTATGTTTAAAACCATTTTTTAAATAAGAGTGTTAAACGCTGGTTTAATGAAATTGGACAGATAGAATTTATAGGGTTTGATTAGCAAGGGGTGCGTATTATGCATAAGTAGAAACATTTTCCCAGCACAAATTTTAGGTGTCGTATTATGGATGAAGGCGTATTATACATGGGGAATTACGGTATGATATTATAACTACTATATAAATATAATATATATTATATTACAATTTTGACTGTGTATCTATTTATTTGTTTAGTCTTACTGTTTTTTTTTAAATAATTGTGAAATGAAAAACATATACAGAATAAATGCAATATTGTGTTGAAAGGAGCAAAACCCAAAATAGTTAGGTTCATACAGACTACTAACTAAGTTAAAATTTCGATACGGAAGAGTAGAACCTTCTTTATACGTTAATTTTAAGCCTGTTATATTTTGGGATAATATTTTAGTAAAAGATGCAAATAAAAACAAAACTTATTCAAACAATTATATGCAGTAATTCCTCTAGGGAAATGCGCATAAGTACTTTGAACAAACACTAAATTAATTTTTTTTATTGGCTAAGATTGCAGGTGTTATTAAGGGTTTTGAGCAGGTGCGATTCAAATTAACTTACTAAATCGGCAACTCATTTCAAACTCCTTCATCAATTCGAAACAAGATTTTAGAAGTATAACAAAACTGTTTTTTAATTAACAATCTAATTTTATAAAAAAAATAACATATATTTAGTATTCGGAAGCAAAAAACATAAGTTACATATATATTCATTGCAATCAAATTTGGTTCCTGTATTTGTTTAAATGCATATGGCAATACATACATACATACATACATACATACATACATATATATATATTTGTATATTTAGGCAGCAATCCTTCCTTTATGCATGTTTCATTAAAAACGACAGATAAGGTACTACGGTTGAGCTTTTTATTTAATTTTTCTTGTGTTCTGACAAGAGCTTTCTTTTCTGGACAAAGAGTGTGTAAGAACTGTCCGAATGTTCTGTGTTTCCGAGCGCTTTCGGCTATACCTTTAGCCATTATCAAGGATGATTCAATTATCAGCTTAGTAGAGTGTGTGTGTTCTGTGTATGTTCAGTGTGTGGTAGTGATGTTTTTAGTTTCCGAATACGGTTAGCACAAAGCGCTCGGAAACACAGAACATTCGGACAGTTCTTACACACTCTTTGTCCAGAAAAGAAAGCTCTTGTCAGAACACAAGAAAAATTAAATAAAAAGCTCAACCGTAGAACCTTGTCTGTCGTTTTTAATGAAACATGCATATATATATATATATATATATATATATATATATATATATATATATATATATATATTTCAAACTGATATTGTTAATTCTATATATATATATATATTATATATTTCAAACTGATACTGTTAATTTTATATATATATATATATATATATATATATATTATTCAAACTGATATTGTTAAATATAGCTGATAACGAATGTCTATTGGTCGTTCTAGGTCCTATATAGTGGTTTTATTTCAGGTGAAAATAAAGACAAAAACTGTCCAACATTTGGATATTTTTTATTATGCTGTTACTAAATCTAACCTTTCAGCTCATATGAGCCATCATCAGAGTGGTTATATGGACATTACAGCAGAGATGTTCCCCATCAAAGATGACATCCTGTTATGTTTACATAGAAGTTTGCTATGCAACGATAACGGTCACGGAATCGACGGACAGCATAGTAAAAAAAAAAAAAATCCAAATGTTGGACAGTTTCTGTCTTTATTTTCGCCTGAAACTAAAGCCACTATATACAAAGATTAGAACGGCTCATTATAGATAATCGTCGTCTGTTATATTTGACAATATATGTTTGAATAATAATCTCTCTCTTTCTCTTTTTCTCTCTTTCACTCTCTCTCTCTTTCTATATATATATATGTGTGTGTGTGTGTCTGTGTGCGTGCGCGCGCGCGTGTACATGCGCACTAGCGCGTTACTGCGTGTGTTTTTTCGTGTGGTTATTAAAGGTGTTTTTTGGCAGTTCCCCTTTGACCATAAGAGACTGGAGGTCGCGAGTAGTAATGTACCAGACTCCTCCTGATGTGGCCCCGACAATGGAGTCCCGCTGCCATATCGGCACCGGCGCTACCTAGTTTTCAGTTTCCAGTCTCGATAGTTTCCAACTGCGTCTCTACAGCCTTGTGGGTGATGACTTGTTTTCCACTTTACAACCCATTTCCGCCGGACGAAACGTTGCAAGCCTCTGGTTACTCTATCGCTATTCCCATGGATAATGTTAAAAAAAGCTACATTACAGAGCCCCCCCACCCAATCTAATCCTCCCCGCCTCGTACATTGAAGCGATCCATTCATATCTTTGTATTTCTTTAGAAATAAGTAAATTCCATTCGGATCGTTTCTTCACAAGAACTGTTGCTTTTGGGGAATGCTTTCCTGACGAATACAATCTTAACCTTATTGTAAGTAAATGATGATGTGGCTGAATTAAAAAAAAAATTATGGAATTAAAAAAATCAGTAACATCATTTATTCACTTTCATTAATTAGACATTAAATTATGTCACTTAGGATCCTCCATAAATAACCTGGACGTTTCCGTTAACATGATGAATATTTATGGCGTCTCTTAAATTTCAAAATTTTCAAAAGCTAACAACATTTTTACTTTTGTTTCTAAATACCTGTGGCAAAATAAAATCCTTATATTTGCCTAGATAACGTCCATCACAGGACGAAACGCGTGGGCTAAGATAAGGTTTTCCTTTTGTCTTTATTCATATCGGCTTTTACAGATGCGTATTTTAGCTATATTCAAAAATTATATATATATATATATATATATATATATATATATATATATATATATATATATATATATTGTTTTATAAATATGTTCAACCACTGCCAAAGTATTTATTGTTCAACATTATAAAAGTTCGTTGTTAATGGACTTAACTAAACCCTTTTAGATAAAAATTCAGTCGTCTAACGCTGCAGAATTATTGATCCACTCTCGTATATAGTGTCAACTTTTATATATAGACAAGTTTTATCTATCTATCTATCTATCTATCTATCTATCTATCTATCTATCTATCTTCGCTATCTATCTATCTATCTACTTTTTATATTAAACTGCAGCTGAAACAAGATTTGAAAGACACTCACTGTAAAATGTTATTGTTACGATAGTTATAGTGAATGAATTGTGTGATATGAATGTAAAAGGAGTTGGTTGGAAATGAAGATTATCAGGATAAGAAGGATAGATAATAACTGAAAATATCTATCGACCTTTTTGTTATCCATCTGTCTTTCGCTATATATATACATATATATATATATACATACACAACCCCATATATATATATATATATATATATATATATATATATATATATATATATATATATATATATATATATATATATAAACTGGATAGCAGAAGAAAACAATTACTGAAAATAGAACCATTTATTGCATTAAAAAATCACAAAGACAATTTCCTAGATAAACCACCATAAAAACTGATGAATCCCACAATAATCATGTAGAAAAATGAGTGAGCAAATTGTAGAAAAAATATGCACAGAGTTAAGAGGTATACTGAACATAAACCAATGGAAAAATGCAAAAGAAACAATTAACTGGTTTAACAACATCACCAACAAAAAACTGTTCCTTCATAAAAACTAGATATAAAAGACTTTTACTCGTCCATCAATAAAAACACATTAAACAATGCACAAAACCTGGCAAAACAATACATAGATATTTCAAAAAAAGATCTTAACGTTATAAAACGCTGCAGAAAATCAATACTATATTACTACATCAAAACATGGATAAAAACCCTTACGCAATAATAACAACAACAATATCGACGATTCCTTTGATGTAACAATGGGTAGCAATGACGGCGCTTTTATAAGAAATAATAGGCAGGTACATCATCAATAAATTAGCACACATCATTAATAAAGATAGCATAGGCTTATACAGAGACGACGGCCTAATAATTGTAAAAATTGTAACGACAAAACTACAGGAAAAATAAGAAAACAAATTATAGAAACCCTTAATACATGATGATTTGAAATAGGCATAAAATGAAGCCTAAAATAGTAAATGTCTTAGATATAACAACAAAAAAAAATATATAAAAAATAAATAAAAACAAAAATAAATATAAACCATACAGAAAAGAAAACAACAACCCTATATACATCAAAAAAATCTCTAACCACCCTCCTAATGTATTAAAACACATACCCACATCTATAAGCGAAAGAACATCAACAAATTCCAGCAACGGAAAAATATACAAGGAAAAAACATAATGGAGAAATAGTGGTTATTCGAAGAAACTAGGATATATAAACGAAAACAAAATAAACAATTACAATAGAAAAAGAAATATAATCTGTTTCAATGAACCCTACAATAATGCAATAAAAACAAAAATATTCTTCAAAATAATCGAAAAGCAAGCATAACAAACTATCAAAAATCCTCAACAAAAGTACGATAAAAATCAGTTACCGTTGCAGATATAACATGTAGAAAATAATAGCCAAACACAATAAAAATACTCAGAAAACATAATCGCAACAACATTAATCAGCAAAACAACAGCAATAAATGCAACTTCGAAATAATAACAACCCACTTAACAAAAATTACCTAACAAACAACGTAATATATAAAGCCACCGTAACAAAATAATGGGGAAATGCATACATCTAAATAAATAACTATTTCGCTATCTAAATACCAACATAAAATGAAATGAAAGAAATACAACACATAACACAATATCATCACAAATATAAACCACTATAAACTACTATAACTAGCACCTAACCCATACCAATCTCAAACACAACACAACCAGAAAAGAATGACCACAATATCAACAAACAATAATTAACAAAATTTACCACAACTACACTCTTTAACAATAAAGTAGATATCACCAGAGAAGGAGAGGAAAGAATGAAAGAATAAATTTAAAAAAAAAAATGGCGAAAAAGGAAAATAGAGAAAATGAAAGTAACAATCAATCAACAAGCGAAAATTAAACGAACATATTCACACCACAATAAAAGTACAAGAAAACCGAGAAATATTAACAGTCTAACTCTGTTCTGACAAGTAATTGCATCTATGAAACTTTAAACATGAGAAAAAAATCATTATCATTTCATTAATGATCTATCTTTAACTTCGATACTTCTACCACAAAGCTCGCTTGCCTTAAATGCATTTATCAGAAAAACTACTGAAAAACCAGCAACTTTGGCTTCAAAAACACTCTTTCAAATTCTCTCTCTCTATATATATATATATATATATATATATATATATATATATATATATATATATATATATATATATATATATCTTTTCATTATCTATTAATCCATCTATCTAGAGGTCCTTTCATTATCTATCTATCTATCTATCTATCTATCTATGCGCACGTGCTTGTATTGTAATGTGTGTGTATTTATATTTGTACGCATTCATTCTAAACACGTGCTTTATACATGCGATTTTTTACCAGACTATTTGAAACTTAAATAATGTATACACGATTGCATTTTAACAGAGGAAAATATGTCGTGTCTCAGGAAAGCCAAGATGTTTGACAAAAACAGTGTGGCTTAGTGGAACATATAAGAATCTTATATTGTACCTTGCTATAGGAAATTAATTGAGGGACCAAGTGTATTTGCGCCTAAGCGAATATAGCGAACCCAATTGGAATTGAAACCCGGCTTTCTGATTAACAATCTGAGCCATTATCAATTACACCACCCGCACATCCAAGATTACTATAGAATGTCTGAAGTTATGCAATTCAAATAAACCACAATAACTCAAAAAGTCCTGGACCAATATTTGCCATTTCGAAATATCAAAGGACCTTTCCAGGAATCATCAAACGAAAAAGGAAGGATGTTGAAAATATAAGTTGAGAACTCGAAACAAAGGAAAAAGGCTTTAAGAATTTGCTTCCTCGAGTTGAACGTAAACTAAAGCGGAAACAGTAACTTTTTACCAGCGTTCAGCTCTTTGGAAAAGGCTGTAATTGAGGGAGTAAAGACGAACAAAAGTATAGAATACTTTGCGAATTGCAATCTGTAAAAAAATCTCCGATGCAACCTCATCTCACTAAAGCAAATATTTTAAAGCATCAAAATTGGACCAAGAAATATATAAAAATTGACTTTTCTAAAGTAATTTTCACGGACGAATCTTGAGTGACATTTGATGGACCTGATGAATGGGCCAAAGAATAGATTTTATCCAATTAAGACGTGTCTGTGGCTAAAAGAAGAAGGTTATAAGGAGGCGTTAGTGTTATGATATGGGCTGGAATTGTCGACCAAACCTTTATTGAACCATTCAAAGTCGAAGGAGGAGTTAAACTGAACAGTGAAATTATTATATTTTATGAATACGATTTCTTTGCATGGTACAAGTTCTAGTCTTGCAGTTTCAAAGTGAAGTGTTTATTATGCATGACAATGCTCCTTCACATGTATTTAAGCTTACCCGTGAATTCTTTGAAAATAAAAGATTTACAGAGAAGAAGATAATGGAACAACCATCATTAAGTCTAGATGTGAATCTGATCGAAAATCTATATAATCAATTGTGAAGATAAAATTAGCAGATCTATGGGAAGTAATTAAAACTACCATAACGGCTGTTACTGAAAAGAAGAGTGACTATATTAAAAGGTAAAAATGATTCAAAAATTTACCATATGTGTTTGTTATTTATTCTATTATAGGCATTGATCAATTTTTGATGATTTTCTTACCTTTTTATTGAAGTAAAATGTGATTATTTGGTTTGGCCTAATAAATTCAGACTGCAGTTTGTTTGTTTTTTATAATTCATTAAATAAATTCAATAACTTTAATAAAACATATTGATAGTACTTAAAAGTTTAAGTCGTTTTGTTTTAGCATTTAAATTGAACGTTTCAAATTTGACTATATTTTTTCAAACCAAATTTGTATTATTTCTTAATAACTTCACACAGAGTGTAGATACTGACCAGGTTCGACGTTGCTTAACTTCGGTGATCCTATGGGTATCGGTGTTTCAACATGATGCGACAGTAAAGTTTCTTGAGATGAAATGATAAAAAAAATATCGAATAAGAACTAAAATCCCACTGGATAAAAACACAAATTTAATATTTATGGTTTGAAAAATCATTCAATGATTTAAATCCTAAATTAAATTATGGATTTTTGAACCTGTCTTCTTATGCGCTGAGGAATATTGGATTTGTTTTTTACAGTTTATCAACACTTTTTGTTATTTAAAGACGAAAGAGTTCTTTTGATTTTATAAATAATTCTTTTTCTTTTTTTTCCGAGCGCATATTGCATTAATAATTTTTTTTGGTGGGGGAGGGGGTAGGATAAAATAATTTTTCCAGATATACCACCTGCTATTTACTGATAGCTGGGGAGATAAAAAAAATGAATTCATACCTTTCCAACGAACTCGTCTGGGATTCTAACTCTCCCCTTCTCTCAGGAAAGGAATGAAATGAAGGGATTAAAGAAATTACATGCCAGCAAGAGTTAAAAAGCAATGTTTACGGTTTGTAGCTCTCAAATCTCTAAAATATATCGTGTATCGTAATATTTAGACGACTAATCTGTTAATCATTGTGCTGTGGTTGGAACACAAATCTTATTACGTGTAACTTTATCCGACACAGTTATATACCATGCGTGATACACGCTTAGGCGATCATGTATCCTTCGATACATGACTAACGAAGCAAATTTTTCCCTAAGTAGGTTGCCATTTCTTTCTGCGATAGACCAGATGCCATCGAAGATTATAGAACCCAGTCTATCCTGCTATTTACCCATAGCTTGGGGGGAGAAGAAGTGGATTGATACCTTTCCCAAGGGTATTAGCACGTAAGTGAATGTAATGGATTCGACTGGAATTCGAACTCGACTCTCTGATTCCTCAATCTGAGCCTCTATCCTTTACTCCACTGTATCTGACACAAGGCCACTTTAATCTAACATCTGCAAGTTTTAACCTTTTTACACTTTCAAATTGGTTTAAAATTGGTTCACTATTATCATGTTGATCAACGCCTCACGGTAACTGTCCAAGATATACATCTATGTACTGTAGGTCAAATAAATGTTCGTAACGAAGAAAATATTTATTATTTCATCCAATAAATGTAGGTAAATTTATCGCAGCAGGATGAACATAACATAGTGGTGTTATTACAACAGAACAATTTGAAGTATGTATAAAAAAAACATCTGAGATATTAGGAGAGGAAAAGTATCTAACATTCGAGAAAGTTGTGTTTAATACTTGGTTGTGTAACTTTTGTTTAGTCAAGGCCACCTATAAACTTTTCTTGTAGGGTAGTAAATACTTTATAGTATTACGTTACTGGAATTTTTAACCATTCTTAATGACAGAAACACAGCAACACAGTTAATGCATCCAAACTTGATTCTTTCAACGGTCTTTTGTTGCCATACTGTTCCCTTAAACCAATACATGAATTCTTCAGCTCTTTTACCAAAAATTACTTATCGGACTCTCACCCAGTGATTGTCAAGTGTGTTTGGAATGGTTGTCCTTTCGAATCACCTAACTTTGTCTCATATTCAGGTTTCTTGCTCAAAAGTTGAGATGTTCTTCAGCACTTACCCGATACCAAATTCATCGTTCCCTTGTTTTGTTTTTCTGTATCCAGAGATGAAAAACAACCCAACTGCATGATAATGCCACCAATATGTTTCACGGCTGGTGTAACTTTTATTTGGATCTTGTGTTTTTTATATTGTCTACAGCTAAAAAGTATTACATATTTTATGGTGTGTTACAACTGACGCGGTCAAGATCAGGTCATCAGTTAACTCTTTCCAAATTATTCATTGTTGCTGTTTAATCATTTAAATAAGTTTCGGGCTTCTAGGTTTCGAAATCTTACTTACACTAATGGATAATAATTTTGTTTTTTTTTTCTATGCCAGAATTAATACTGAACTAGATTTATTGAGATGCTGAACTTCTTCCTGTAACCGTTTTTTCTCGTACGTTGTTCCATATTATTATTCCTGACTGCAATATATAGAGAGTAGATTTATACGCAGGCTAATAGACGTAGTACACATTGTTTAAAGTAAAAATAAAAATGAGGCGTTTATTTCAAATGTGAGTATCTGTTATTATAATAAAATAATAATAAGAGTAATAAAAATATTGGATTAAAAATAAAACCATTAAGTCTTTAAAAATTGCTTTGTTTACATTTCGGTTACAAGATGAGATTTTCGAGAAAAATATCTTAGTGAGAAAATGTGCTTTCCTTAAAAGGGAAAATAGAACTTTGCTGAACTATGACTCTCTTCGTAGCCGAGCAGTACAGCAGGCCGGATCAAATGGTGGTTTCTCCTACAAAGGAGGCCACAGAGCACATTTTTCTTATTAGGATATCTCGAATGGGCAAGTCGATAGACGTAATACTCACTGTTTAAAATAAAAATGGGGCGTCTGTTTCAAAAATGAGTGTCCACTATAATAACTTTTCAAGTAATAAAAATATTGCATTGAAAATAAATCCATTAATTCTTGAGAAAGTTTCATAATAATGAATGTCAGAATTCTACAGAAAAAATCAGCCTCACTTTTTCGTCATTCACTTTTTTGACCGATTTTTAATTTTTTAAAACTTCTGAAAGAAAAAATCTCTAAATTCAGCATTGAGATTAACATCTCTCTTCTCCTGCGATAATTTCCCCCATTCCACCCTCCCACACCCATACTAGTGTTGATTCATCTGTTGTTTCCTTATATATATATATATATATATATATATATATATATATATATATATATATATATATATATATTCGGTCATCTGATGTATTGCTGACGTATCATCAAAACGTTTCAGAGATTGCTTCTTATTCATAGTGTCTCGGCTTTCCGAATAGCTTCTTCTTGATTAATGTTTTTATGCAGTAATTATAATCGCTTCTCCAATTAACCATTAATAATTAAATCATTATAAAAATGTTCTTTTCGTATCAGTAAAAAATTATGCCTGACTTCAATAAGTTTGTAAAGAATAAAGTCAATGAAAGCGTTCCTTGGAAAGCTTTAATCAGCTGGATTCACAATACAAATACGACGCCAGGCTAATACATTTTATGTTTTTTAATTATGTACTTATGAAGAGTTACATAAGGGGAGATAATTTGAATTGTCTTTTGTTGCCATACTGTTCCCTTAAACCAATACATGAATTCTCCAAATTACTAACACGAAGTGTTCGATTGCTTGTCCAAAAATTCGTAAGTACGAAATACAATGATTCGGACTATTGTCCTCATCTTTGTCGCCATGTTTATCACAACGTTTCGGTCGTTGTACGCTCCGGCCTTCTTCAGGTGGTTGGAATGTCAAACTGAACCATTTATTTCGCTCAGTGGTGTAGACTGTTCTAGTTCCACGTGCCATGTCTAATGGATGCCAGTTATCTTCTGTTAATTCCCATCTCCAAATTCTCCACTGCCTTAACTATGTATTGAACTCACACTCTTTGGAAAATTCGTAAACTTAAGGAATTAGCACATATGCGAGGCCACAAAAATCTCCTGAGTCGACCAAGCATAGAAATGAATACAATATGGGAACCAGTAATAAGGATTGTCAAAGAAAAGCGATAATAACAACAGAAGTTGCAATGTGAATTCTGGTAAAAAAATATGCAATAATAACAGCAAAAATTGCAATATAAGCACTGGTAAAAAATGGTTGCTGAAGACATTAGGTTTATAATACCCAGAAATTCATACCCAGATGTCCTCGAGGACACATGGCACAGTGGATAGAGGCGTTAGTTAGATCCAGCGACAGGACGCAAAGAGTGTGAGTTCAATACCCGGTTAAGGTAGTGGAGAACTTTGAGAGGGGAATTAACAGGAGATAACTGACATCCATTAGAACAGTCTACCCCAGTGAGCGAAATAATGGGTTTAGTTCGACAACCACCTGAAGAAGGCCGGAGCGTACAACGAAATGTAAGAAATATGGCGACAAAGATGAGGACAATAGTCCGAATAATGAAAATAGTGTACATAATACCTCATCTCAGAAATATAGACAGATACTGAAGGGCTGAAATGTTGTATAATACGAATAATGTAATAATACCTCATCTACGAAATACAATGTTTTCTCAACTTAACATGGTTGGTTCCTACCATTTGTTTGTCTGAACGTAAAATCATTTGTGATGCTGCTGAAACATATTCTGCTTTATCCCTTATCACTTTTCTTAAGCAAATAATGCAATCTCTCCTGATTGGTTTAAAGAATATGTTGTACTTATTTGTGCATATCTTCGCTGTTGTCTTCACTCAATAATATTTATCTAAATATTCTCTTATTCTTTTGCAGCTCAGTTCTAACATTTTACGTTGCTACTGTTTAGCAAAAACATAACACCTCATCTCAGAAATATAGACAGATACTGAAGGATCAGTATCAGTATGAAGAGAGATTCTTTCCTTCTTTATGTGCCGTGTCCCTTCAGGACGAAGGCGATCACGGCTCTCCACAATATCCTGTTCCTTGTAACTCTTAATAAACTTTGTCTTTCTGTTATTTCTCCTAAACCCTGTTCTATCATCTATGTAGTCAAGCTCGCTAAGTATGTTTTTTTCTCTTTCCCTATTGTCCTATCTGTCCCGTGAGTAACAGATTTTCCAAGACCTCCTTCATCATTATGTGCCCCAGAAACATCAACTCTCTCTTCCTGATGTTAAGCATTAGTTTCCTTTTTTGTTTCCATTTTCTCCAGAAACTTCATCATTGCTCATATGTCCGGTCAATGGTATTCTAAGCATCCTTCAGTAAAGTAATATTTCTGATGCTTCAGTTCTCTTCAGCATCTCTGAGTCATGCCATACTGGAAAACAGATAGCGTGTCGCGGTTTAGTACTCTTTTCCTTGTTTATAGTGAACTTTTTCTATTTCTTAGTACTCTGTTTATCTTTTGGAATGCTTTCTTGGCTATTCAAAATACACCTTAGAATTTCAGTGTTACACATTCTATCCTCCCAGATATTTAAATTCCCGCAATTGATTGATTTTGCTATCTTCGATTTGCAATTCGCACTTTGGGTTCATCCTGTTGCTAACAACCATGCATTCTGTCTTCTTGCAATTGGTGTTTAATCCTGTTTTCTCGATTTACTTCACTATCTTCTATAGGAGTTTTTGTAGCTTTCTTTCCGTGCCTGCTATCAACACTGTGTTATCTTCACACCTTATGTTTTTAAGATTGTACCCGCCAATAATGAATCCTGGTAGGACTTCTAGTTCTCTCAGAATCGTCTGGCTATATAGGTTGAACAAGAAGACACATCCTTGTCTTACACCCCTTTCTATTTTTTTTAATATTCTTCTGAATTTGTTTTCTCTCCGTATGCAGGCAATTTGCTGCTAGATTAGGTTCTGGATTATTCTAGTATCCTTCCTTGAGCAGTTCCAATAGTTTTTTTGTGACGCACTTTATCAAACGGCTTTGCATAATCTATAAAACAAAGTCTTACATCGTTTTGCATTTGTATTGATCTTTCTGACAAAATTCTAAGCATAAATATTGCGTTACTTGTTCCAGTGTCTTTGACGAACCCGCACTGTTCTTGTCCTATCTGCGGTCTAATTCTCCTGCGCCGTCTAGTCATCAGAATTCACATGATCAGTTTCGCTATGTGGCTCATTAAGCTGATTGTCCGATGGAGTTCACAGTTTTTCGTTTGCAGCTGGCTTCTTATTCAGTGCTATGAAAATAGATCTACTTAGATCATCCGCTTTCTACTGTTGTAGATTTAATTTATTATTTCTGTAATTTTGTCTCTGCCGAAATCGTCTAAGGCCTCCAACAACACTGTTACAATTTTGACTGGTTCTGCTGATTTATTTCTCTTTAAATTGGCCAGTGCAGATTTCACTTCAGAATTTGCGGTCCGTTGATATTTCGGTGTATTGTCAGTTTTTCTCTTTTATCATAGAAGTGTTCTCCGATTTATTCTTTTCATCTAATTCCGTTCTTGGAGATGAATAACCATTTTCTGCTAAAACTAAAGCATAAGATCTTACAGTTTTACAAGTTTAACAAAGACTCTAAAATAAGTAGTTGATATTTATGCAAAGAAGAAATTCTTTAACAAACAATGGTGACCCCTTTTCAAAACGATAAACTTTGAGCTTAGAGGTTCGCAACGTATATATTTGTAAAGGTTACCTTAAACTGACGCCACGTTGATATATCAACAACTGCGTTTACAAGATGACGCTGTGAAGCTAAATTAAGACCGTCTATTACGCAACCGTTGGACCTCTGAAATGGCGCGCTGATTCAAAGTTGAATTTACAAACAGCTTTGTATCCCCGAAAATGTTTAGCTTGGACTCCTTTGCGTTTGTTTATTCTAAGGTCAGCTTTTATTTTTATGTTTTCGTACACTTGTATCGTCGCTATGGAGTAGATATGAGCATAGAGAATTGTGATTAAGTCAATGAACTTCTCTCTCTTTTTTCTTTTTTTTTACTGGACCAGTCAGCGTTTCTCCTTAAATATTAGATAATCAACATAATATTTTAGTAAACATTAAACTGAATGGCATCAACTCATCGGTTGTTAAGAAAAAAAA